AATATCAATAAATGCCCTGGCAATATTTCTGCTACACTGAATGGCACCTAAATTAGGAAAATGTACAATTGCATCATTGTAAAACATTGCTGTTTCAGGACTGTTTTTCTGCACTTTTCTCTTTTGTCCTCATCAAGGCGGCGTTGCATCCCTCTACACCAGCCTTAGCATCAGTGAAGCATCTCCTTCAGGTGGATGGATCAAGGGCAGTGAAGGTCTATCCAACTGAACGTATTTGAAGATGTAAAACATGGATCAACGATCTTTAACATAGGGTTAGTCTGTCATATATTGCAATCAAGCCGCATTTTGTCATAGCAATGTGGCACATATGTATTGGTATTGTGCTGAAGATTGTGGTTCAAAATATTGTGAAGCTCTAATACTGTTGTGCATTGTTTTGTGTTGAGGTTATGGAGGTTTTGCAGAAACGTGAGTATGTTGACAATTACGACTGGAATAAAGTGTCTCCTTACACTGTTTAACATTTGAAATAGGAACAGCCAGCATTTGCTGGTCATCAAAACTTTCTTTATCCTTTGCAACCATCTTAAGTTTAATCTTTTACTATAGTTTTTTACCCTTTTAGAGCAAAACGTGTTTGTTTTTTCTCTTTAAAGAAGTAAGGTGTTCAGTTAGAGGAGAGGGCTATCTCTCTCATCATGTCCCAATTGGACTGTGGTTCTGATTCACCACTCAAAAACAATGCTCTTTTAAAACAGCTTCGATGCATAGAGTGAAAATCAGATTCTCAGATTAGAATATAAATATTGAATTATTTTTTTCTTGAATGATTCAAGAGATCTCGAAACGATGGCGCGTTCTGTTGATTTGTGACGTTTTGAAAATTGCACATCATCCAAGGTTGAGGGAATATGCTTGCCTTTGCTCTGCTGTTGAAAGGCAGATGAGGAATGATTGATACCACTCTCGTGTTTGTCCGTTTAATGTGGCGCTCTAGCCAGCAGGCAGTTTTCTTAGATAAAGTAAATTTGTTTGAAAGTGAGGAACAGCCTCAGAAAAAAAAAAACCTATAAAGATTGGCTTGGTCCATGTTCAGACTACGCAAATACAGGCAGAATAATTCACTTCTGACAACTTTCAGCAAAATAACAAACACGCATGTTTCAAAAGATGACACACTCTTTTTACTCTTTAATGTCTGTGGCGGACTTCCTTTAGGTTTTGTGCTTGTAAAGGAGTAGGCTTCAAATCCAAAGTGATGTCTATAAACTCCTTTGAATTCCCACATCCTGAAGAATATGATAAAACAACAGCAGACTGAAATAAAACACCAGATGTGGGACACGTTCCCTCTGTGGCATACTGTATTCACAGAAGGAAATTACAGAGGGATGACAGAAACCTTCTGATAACATCCTATGATTAAGTGAAAATTGTTGCTTTTGCCTGTGTCCAAACCCACACTGTGTCTCTCAAGTTTAAACCAGCAGACACCACCGGCACGAGCAAACTCATTCTCTTCAAACCTAGGAATAATGACACAGCTGACATCTTAATGGTAAATGAGCATAAACAAAGCCTCGGCTTCAAGACAAACTGTCAAGTAAAAAACAAATGCTGCTATTCTTCAGCGTAAGCTCCACAATCCAACGCATCCAAAAGTCAATATTCACACTTGGCAGCTCAGACAAAGATGAAGACGAGGTGCGAGAACTACAAAACATGGTGCAGTCTGGAGCGGGCCTGAAGCGCCACATGCCGTCGATTCAGAGAGGCCCCGTCTTTTACATGCGGGAGAGTTTGTTCCAAAGCTGATATGCTAACAGGCCATAACAACGTAATTGCAGTCGTATATTTTGCTATTTTTCAAAAATCAACTTAACACCACAGGTGCAGAAGAGACACAGCAGGCAGATCTGACTCATTCGTTAATGGAGTAGCTGTGGAGATGAGAAGCAGTTCTGCGGAGACTTGCAAAAGTAATTATACACATTGAATGTTTTCATATGCTCTGCCTCCACTTCCACAAATGTTAATATGTGTATATTTAGCTACATATTTTGTGGAAATGTTTTGATAGATTGCCACAATTATTTGTTAGCATTTATTTTAAAGAACAATAACTTTTTTAAAACATTTTTTTTTTTTTCAAAATAAAAATATGAGTCATATTTGCAATGCAACCCTGAGGTCCGATTACAACTGGACGATTTTTGTGGCATGTCCTCGCCAGCACTGCTCATCTAGAGACTTAAAATACATTGAAGTTTGTGTTGGTAACATGATAAACTCTGAAAAAGTTCATAGGGCTTTAATACTTTTACTATGCACTGTAAGCTGTGGAGGTTCGAAATGTTTCGTGATATCTGCTTCTGGACACTGATAGAAAGTCAATTTCAAAATAAAGCGGACACACATTTCACCCCAAACTGTGCAAATGAATATACCTCGTGGCATAAATTGTCAGGTCAGTGCACAACTTGTTTGACCTACAAGATGAATATAAAGCAATGACAGAGGGAGCCATATTGTATTGATTGATAAATGCATTTTCCCTCTGTGTACAATTGGCTATCTGTCAGGGCCGTGAACATCACCAGGAGCACAAATATGACCTTCTTCCTTATTGCTTGCCTTTTTGTACTTCGTGGCCTTGAATCCTCAAGTTAATATCTTAGCAATTTTCAAAACTGTGGCGACTCTGACGAAAGGAAGCTCTGAATACTGAAAGAGTGGTCAGGACAGCTTAGATATGGAATTAGTTTTATTCATGAGGAACATTGTAATATGTGAGAACTGTGTTTGGTGCTGCACGGTTATGTAAAAGGTGTCTAATCCACTCCATTCCAGCTTTTATCACAGCTATCAAAAAGCTTAAAAAAAAGCAAGTATTTATGATCATGCAAATGAGGGCAGCTCTCAGCCCACGTTTTGTTCAGGGGAACAAAAAACCCTGGAAAAAAAAAAAGGTTCTGCTTTCTATCTGAATCCACTAATATCCCCCCTTTCTTTTCCGAAAGATTTAGAATCTATTAATTTCCCCATGAAGACTCTTCTTTACCTGACTGTTTAGTAATTTGTAACAGCTTTCTTCTCTTGTCCTTTTTGTTCTCATGAATCAAGCACTCTTTTAAACTGACTTTGAAAATAATGAGGACGGAACAATGCAATGACAAGGTTGTTTGCAAACAGATGATTGTCTTCAGGTATTTAATAGTGTTTGAAATGCATATCTCAAGTTTTGGAAATGTTGATAAAAAACAATATTAAAGCACGCTTGTCTGTTTGAAGTTGTTGGTGAAGAAACACAAGCTTCCCCATAGGCATGGTCCTTTGATTGAGAGATATGTTTAATTGATCTTTTTCTTGCTTCATCTATTTGCAAACCTTCAGCTTTTTCCAGACTGAGTGTCCTAAATTTGCAGCTACATACTGGCACTGTTCATATGCAGTATAGAAAAGTATGGAATTAGATTTAGGTGTTTCTCTGATCTGGTTATATCCATCCTTCTAGTCAGTCAGCCTCTGTTTTTTTTTTCAGAGGCTGACTGACTCTGAAAAAAAGTATTTACTTATTTTAAAAGTATTTGAAACTCTGGACATTTGTGTATGACTAAGTATAGTGTTTTGACATGAGAAATGTCCCAGAACCCTTTATTATGTGTTTGAAAGGGAAAACAAAAACAACACCAGCTTTTCAACTAAAAAAAAACAAAATAAATAACAGCAATGTTCTTTAAATCTGTACCTCTACAAACAACCAGTGTCCAGAATCCAGGGTGTTACTTGCCGGCAGGGTTGGATATAGATTTTCAAACTCATCTGCGTCTCGTCGATAAATCATTTAGGACCAGGAACAGTTTTCACTTGCCCTGCATGTTCGCAGTTTGAATTAAACCAGCAAACAGTAACCAGCTCTGGGAAAGCTTATAGTAAAAGCACAGCAAGCAGGTGTCTTGTAAGTGTCAGAGGATTCAAAGAGTTGCATAAAAAATTACATTTCACTTTGTACATGGGTAGTTTTTTTTTCTTTTCATTTTCACAGCAAAGGCAGAGGAATTCATTAAAAGGCTCACCCCTCATAGCAACAACTGACAGCCAGGAATTTGTCAGACAGCTTAATACATGGTGCTGTGTTGTGTATAGTGATGGAAATTATTTTAAAGAACAGGCGTTGATTTGACAGCACCCCAGCAAGATTTTTTTTTTTTTTTGTCGGTATAATGCTTTATACCTTATTTTTCCTCAGGAGCACCAGATCCTTTTTTTGTGTGTGCTCATTTGCATGCCAGAAACCAAACGGAGCAACCTTGGAGTCTTCAAAGCAGGTCTCCCAGGTAATGGAGGGGAGCGTAGGATTGCACATCTGATCAGCTCTGACTGGAGTTTTCATCATGTAGATCTAAAACTGGAGGAGGAGTTTTAAATGTTTACAGAAAATTAAAGCAGGGGAGGGATTCTCATCTTTTGTTCTAATGTTCCTTAATTAAAATGATTCTTTGTCACGCTTCATTAATTTTAATCACATCGTTGTATAAAAAAAAAAAAAAAAAAAATTGCTGACTGTCATTTTGTATTAATTCAGAAATTTTATTTGAGGAAAAAAAGAACAGAAACACTGCAGTAGACACCACAGGAAACTATATACTGAAACTCAAATAATGAAAGACAAATATACAAAAGAGATGCACCAACCAATCTTCCAGAGAGTGGAATTGGACAATTTTCCTTTGATTGGCTATGACCAGTGATTAGCAAGTTAAATGCTGAAAAAAATATTTGTTTTTCCCCTCTTCATTAAATAAATAAATACAATGAGGTCTGATCAGTTTTGGTCGATGACCCTCGAATCAGCATTTGCTTGGAGAAATTAGATAAAGTTTATGCATTGATTCATAAATTGTGGTAAGCTAGTAAAGCTTTCATTTCCTGTTTGATTTATAATTACTACCTCTATCAAAAAACGTGCAGCACATTTTTTCTTCTATATGTAATAATTATTACATATAGAAAAAAAAATAACCTGTCAAAATTAAAACAGGCAATTCACAGACACACAATAATAAGTACCAGCCAGGAAAAGCTCGATTAGTCCATATCCAATAAACATTCTCCCACTTTTTCCTCATAAACAAATATGTACACTTGTTAATTAAGAATATGATACAAACTTCTACACATGTTCATCCACAATGTGCGGCTAAATAAGATTGCCTGCACATTTTATTAAAAGATAGTTGCAACTTCAGATTCTGTAGCCACCGTTACAATGTTGGGAGTCTCCTGGTGGACCGTGGCGTGTCCTGCATCAGTTTCATGCGGCTGCTGGGGGAAGTAGGAAGGAAGAGTCCCGGATCTGGAAAAAGTCTGCATGTTGCTTCTTGGTTTTGGCTGGTTTGTGTTGTATCCACAGTCCTTCCTAATGCTGTGAGGATTGTTGAAAACAGGCATGGGGGAGAAGCCTATTGTGTAGGCATTTTCTCTGGAGTTCCTGTAGCTCCTCTGTGGTATCACACAGTAGGCACTTTGGCAGTCTCTAGATAAGCTGCTACTAGTACCTGAAACAAAGTCAGACAAACAAAACTGCAGATTAGATACAGTAAATGTAGATGTTATGTAACCACCTTTAATGTTAACCTGTCAACTTTTTTTTTTCAATGCAGTCTTGCAAAGTCTGGGAAATATGCAGAGGTACTTTTGTTACTATCCAGGTCTGAATGAGTACAAAGAAAACTGAGTGTGGCCAGAATGTTAACAATTATTGCCATTATTAATTATTTACATTTTCAAAAAGTTATAAACCTTTGGTTAAAAAAATAAGGCTATTTAATTGATTTATATTTAAATGATACACCTTACTTTGATTTTTCCACATCAAAAAAGTATACTTCAATATTTTGCTTTTAAGTATAAGGCGCTTCAATTATGCAGGTTCAAACACCTCAGAGTTTTTGCTTGAAACCTCAAACACATGAAGGTTACGATCACAAACCTTAATGTATTTTACTGTGGTTTTATGTGATAAATTAATGCAAACTATTGTGTAACTGGGAAGTGGAAGATAATGATACACTGTCTTCATTTTTCAAGTTTGTAAAAAAGATTAGCAAATAAATATCTGAAACAGCTTAGGAATTCAGTCTCTGGAGCAATAACTTCATGGTGCAGTCGTAGGTTCAGGCTATAGTGCAGTGGTAATTTTCCTCCACATACAGTGTTTTGCATATCAGCTAAAAAACATAAAAGCTGTACTTCATGTGGTTGCTGCATGGGGGCACAGTTGTTAGTACTGTTGCCTTGCAGCAAGAAGGTCCTGGGTTCTTTCTGCATGGAGTTTGCATGTTCTCCCTGTGCATAAGTGGGTTTTTGCTGGGTACTCTTGTCACAGTGAAAAAACATGACTATCAGGTTAAATGGCCTCACAAAATGTTCTGTAGTTGTAAATATGTACATAGTTGATTGTCCTGCATTTCTCTATGTTGCCCTGCGATGGACAGGTAACCTGTACTAAGCGTACCCTGACTTTATCCCATGAATCGCTAGAGTGAGTCACCGGCCACCCACTGCAAGGACATAGCCTTTGGATGGATGAATGATATTAGATTAAAGACTAAACAAATATCCACACTACTCTTTGAAGATTTGCAAATCAAAATCTTAGTGTGTGTCATTTGTCTCACACTAATACACACAACTCTGTCTTGGTTTCACACAAAATCCCAATAAAAATCTTGAATATTGTTGCAAATTCTAATAGAAATGCGATGCGTATGAACATTTTCCCAAAGCCTGCAAATGGCTGTTAAAGCCATTTTAAATCAAATCTATAAGCAGAAACTGTGGTTCTTAAACTTAACATGCAAAAGACAAATAGTAGAGAAGTCTAATATGTGATGCCATTATGTAAACCACGCATGTAATACAAAAAGTAATTATGTATCATCATTTTAGTTGTTATTACATAAACTAAAAAAATGTACACTTCAGAGAAACTTTTGAAACATTTTTTAAATTAGATGTATACAAATTTTGTAATGTGAAATGATAATGAATAATTAGGCACCCTGGAATATTTATTTAAAACTTACTTTTCAGTCTGGGTTGGAAGGTGCTGAAGTTCTTCTTGCCGCCATCTCCACTGACATCTGAGTCGCTGTCATTGAAGTCACTGTCCCCTTTGCCGCTGTCCTTCACGCTCAGCTGGTCATTGTTGCTGAGGCCGCTGCAGTCAACAAAATACAGTATGAGCCACAACCACACCACATTAGCTTGGTTATTGATGTGCTTTCATATGCAAAAACTAGATCTTTGCTGTCCATCTAACCTCAATCTGCACACATTGCCACAATCAATAAACTGCATGCATGGGTGAAAAGTAAAGCATGCTTTCTTTTCATTCAAGTTTCACTGCTATGCAGTACACGCGAAAGGAAATTTCTCATTTTTTCAGTTAACTTACCTCACTTGCAAGCAGTATCTGTCACCTTGCCACACAGACGTTGGCTGAAAATGCTTGGAGGGCAGGAAGATCTAAGAGAGCAAACAGAGTGACAGTAGAGCGCTTAGTTTCCATTTCTGGCACATAGATCAAGGCAACATCACGAAGCTAAAAAGATGAAAAATGCTGAAAAAAAAAAAAAACACACTGAATGACTCACCTTCGATTCTGAGTCTCTGCTCCTCTCCTCATAGAGGCAGGAATCATCCAGAGACAAAGACGTCCTCTCATGGAAGAACCCCTGCTGGCCCGTGTAAATGTTTGGTTCTGCAGAGCTGAGCATGGCATGGGCCCTGCCGTCAAACAGGCCCTGGCACACCTCTCTCTTTCTGCCACGGCTTCTTCTTCCCCCACGGCTCAGTTTGCACGTGAGGGCGACGGCCACAATTGCAATTAGCAGGAAGGCACAACCCCCACTGAGCACGATGATGATGATTAGTGAGCCATCGAACGAGGAGCCTTCTTCCTCACTTGACTGTAGGACAATGACAACCTGGTCTTCAGGGGGTTCTGTATCTGAAACCACAAACCTAATAGTGGCACTGCTAGACAGAGGGGCCCTTCCGTTGTCACTGACTGTGATTTTAATTTCCAACACGTCCCCTATTTCGGCTGTGAGCCACTGCTTCAAAGCGATCTCTCCAGTGTTTTTGTTCATGGTAAACAGCTTTGGATCGCCTTCCAGAATTTGGTGGGAGAGCTCGCCATTCACCCCCTCATCCGCATCTTCTGCTACTACCTGAAGGGCAAGGTAGCCTGCGGGGGCAGTGTAGGGAAGAGGGATGTCAGCAGAGTTATTCAGCAGGACAGGGAAGGTGAAATATGGATAGTTGTCATTCTGATCCACGACTCTGACCCGGATCATTGAGGTACTGGACAGAGAGGGGGAGCCTCTGTCCTCTGCTTGGATGACCACCTCAATCTGTTGGAGCATCTCATAATCAAAAGACCTCAAAGTGTACAAGGACCCCGAGATTGAGTCTACAGAAACATAGGTGGACACTGGAGATCCCCCCGGTATTTCTGAATCTAGGAGCTTGTAGGAAACTTTTGCGTTCTTTCCCATGTCAGGATCTCGAGCAACAACGGTGGTAATGTATGAGCCAGGAATGTTGTTCTCCAGAACGGACACTTCATACACAGACTTACTGAAAAGAGGGGGGTTGTCATTCTCATCTGTTACACTGATTGTGTACTGCTTGGCCGTCTTAAACGGGGGACTCCCCAGGTCCTCTGCCACTACAGTCAAGTTGTATTCTTGGATCTTCTCTCTGTCCAGAGTAGCGGTGGTAACGATCATGAACGTCTCCCCGTAAGCCTGCTGCAGGGCGAAATGCTCGTGCCCGAGCAGGCTGACGCGCACGTACCCGTTGGAGCCCGAGTCTCTGTCCGAGGTGCTGATCAGCGCCACGAAGCTCTCCGCTGCCGCAGCCTCGGTGATGTAGGCCACCGAGTCGCTGCTGGAGGTCATTGGCTTGATGCTGATCTCCGGAGCGTTGTCGTTCACGTCCACTACCTCGATCACGACCGTGCAGGTGGACGGGACGGAGCTCTCGCCCTGATCCGAGGCTCTGATTCTCAGCTCGTATGAGTTCCTTTTCTCGAAATCAACCAGCGCCTTCAGGGTCACATCCCCGGAGTAAGGGTCGATGTGGAAAGTTTGGGCCGCTTCGGATGACAGCTCATCCGGGAACGCATACACTACTTGCCCGTTGATGCCCTGGTCCGGATCGAAGGCGTGCACTTTCAGTACTCGGTGACCAACCGGGGAGTCTTCCTCCAACTCAACTTTCAGGGAGCTGTGCGCAAAAGCCGGGCTGTTGTCATTAAAGTCCAACACTTTGATGTTCACAGTCATAGATCCCGACTTTGGAGGTGCTCCTCCGTCAGACGCAGTCACCTGTATAGTGTAAGAGTCCTCCACCTCCCTATCCAGCTCACTCACCAGAACCAGCTCGGCAAACTTCACTCCGTCCTCCAATTCGCGCACTTCCACCGCAAAGTGGCTGCAGGAGGAGATGATGTAGCTCTGGATGTAGTTATCACCCACATCCTCGTCGAGAGCGATCTGGAGCGGGAACCTGGAGTCCAGGGGCACGTTTTCAACTATCTCCAGTTTCGTTTCGTTGAGTGGGAAGTACGGAGAGTGGTCGTTGATGTCCTTCACCTCGATCTCCACGTGGATGAGCTGAAACTTCTCCCTGGAGTGGGCCACGATGTTGAAGGCGATGAAGCAGCGAGGGGACCTGGGGCAGAGCTGCTCCCGATCGATCACATCCGCGACGGTCAGGAGTCCGTCACTTTCCCGCATGTGAATGACTGAGGTGTTGCTCTCCTGCATGAAGCGGAAAGATGTGTCCGGGTCATCAGACGGATCAATCTTTAAATCTTGGGATAAATTCCCTATTTCCGTCCCGGGTGCGTCCTCTTCATAAGTAAAGTACCTTGTAGTTGTGCAGTGCACAGTGCGTAGAAACACAGAAAAAAGAGTCAAGACAAGCGCCACAGATGCAGCTTTGCAAAACGCCATGCTGAGTGCCCCCCACCCCAAAAAAGTATTCAGATGATGCAAGTCGGGAACTACTTCTCCTGTCTGAGTCCAACTCCGAGTTAGCAGACCGACTTTAAGCCCCACTGTATGCAAATTGCCCGCCCCGTCGACCAATGGCCTTCCAGTGGGGCACCAAATGGAAAGATTTGGCGCTGCACCAATTTGTAGCTTATTGTTTTGGGTGCAAATGGCTCATTAGATAAACTGATTGTAGAGATTGTAGAGCTTTTAATCGGGCAGACTCCAGCTTCCTTAAATTAATCTGCACGTGGCAATTAATTAATTAACTAACTAAATTACTTGGAAGGGATAGGATAATAAGAACACACTCCTCCGGAGGAGGGTGCAGGTCTACCTGTTAAAAGCTTTGAAAGGATTTGCTGGGTGAGTTTCACCCAGCGAGAGAAGGAAGCAGACACATGGCAGCGTTATTAGAAGTGCTCCAAAAGTTAAGGAGGGCACACGGCTGTGGAAAGCATCAGGAGAATGATTGGTGCCATGCGCAGAAGTTTAAAAGTCCTGAAGGCAAAAAAAAAGGAGAAGAAGAAAGAAAAAAATGAGATATTCAAAGAAAGTCATGCTATGCATGTAGAAATATAACCAATGGAATGCAGATAGAATGTTAAAATTCAACTAAAGGTAAGGTTATGATTGGGAAGAATACATCTCAACCATTTTTTCTTTGAGTACTGCATTCCTGAAATATTAGTTTTTTTATTATTATTATTATTATTATTATTTGTATTCATAAGCAGCACTGTTAGGTAATTTTTCAGCACTTTTATGCCTCTTGAGTGGGTGAAAAAAATGCCAACTTATATGTTTGGGCTTGTAAAATATTAATGTTAAGTGCAAAACTGTCAGACAACAGCAGTGAGATAGGGACAATAAATATAAAACAGACAATTTTATGAAATCTAAGTGTAATGCGACATAAAATTTAAATATGTCACCAGTGGCAATTCAAGCATATATCATATACCCCAGGCAGGTTGTTTCTACTGCCTCTCCGTGCACAAGCAAAGGAATAGAAACTCCACCAGCAAGAATAACGTCAGAAAGATAGACAGAAAGAGATACAGAGAGAGAGAGAGAGAGAGAGAGAGTCAATTCAGTTATTTAATAATTGGGATTTTGGACTATTTAAATGCAGTCCAGACTCCTTAGCAGACACCAAAATAAATCTTTGATTGGACAAAAAGCCATGACATCCAAATTAGACACCAACTTCAGAGTCATTAGAAAGCTGTTAGTGTGCAGTAGTATTTTCAGTGGTATTCACTACAAAATGTTTGTTGCAGAAGCAAAATTCTACACTCAAAGTGATGAAATGTTTTTGTTCCCCCGAGTAAAATTTTGTTAAATACCAGTGCCTCAAATATGAAGGAGAATCCTGTTGTCACTGTTTTTAAGTTTGAAACTTAAAAATGAGCAAACTTACAAAGAATCTTAAAAATAGTAAACAAGAAAATGATAGATATAAACTGAATGTTGTAAACTCTAAGTAATCTACGTTAGCAATCTACATTTTTGTAATATGGCACAGAATATTGTTGTAGAGGTAGATATAGATATGACAATATTCCTATGTTAGAGGCTCACTAACAAAAATATATGCTATAGAAAATGTAAGTTGATACAGACAGGAATTGTATTTGAATTTAATTGGCCCTCTTTATTTGACACTATAACAATATATCAGGTGTTTACCCTAAGAATTGTTTTTATTATACACCAACAACAGGCTTAGAAAAAAAAGCTAAGACAAGAGTATCAGGGGATTTTATGATCTGTGGCACATAATATTGTTAAGAGATTTAGAGAATCCTCTCCACAGAGCGAACAAGGCTGAAAACCAATACAGAACGGCAGAGATCCTCAAGCCCTCGGGCTGAACAACATCAAAAACAGGCACATTTCTGCACAGAAACACTTCTGGTTGTCAAAAAAATATCATGTATAATATCCTAAAATACATCTCCCTTTTTTTTTTAAAGAACTGAATCATTTAAAAAAAATGTTCCAGGGTGAAGTGGGTAAAAAATGTAGATACTGGAGAAATAAACATTTTTGGATGTAGCGGAAATAATCTCTTGAGCCCTCAATCGAACAGGGAATGGCTGGTTTGTTATCGACATGAAGCACAAAAACCAACACATGAAATACTAATATTAGGCGGCATTATCTTTATTGTCTCATTCTTCTTTCAGTGAGTGAAGTTTGACAAGCTAGCATATAAACATTATTTCAGAGAATCATGCTCGAGAGACAGGAAGCAGGCTTATATAAAAAGCTTCAATTCAAAGGCATTAAGAAAGAGCACATTTTGAGTAAAATTACACTATGGAATGAAACAGATGTTAAAATATGGGAAGAGGACTTATAGAATCACACCATCTAAAGCAAAGACATTCCACTGACTGTAAAAAGCAGTGAAAGAGTCCATAAGAGCAGTTCTTACAAGGCCCTTAAAAAGTATGAATAGAGTGAAGTGAGTTAAGAGTCTGAAGGCTGATGGTATTTCGAAACCCATTTCTATAATGTGGTGCTGAAAATGAAAAAAAAAGAAGAGCAGTTTCACCAATTAATGTTCCTTGAAAAGTTAACCATATCATCCAAAATGTGTCAGTAATTCCCAACGTTCAAAGTTTTTGACTTGAATGGACGGTCTACGTATTTCAGAAAGATCCTTCAAGAACATATTCAGTATAAAGGAGCAGAGATGTGTGGTAAAGCAGTATGCACACAATGCTATGAAATTTAGATATGCTACAAAAAGCGCCCACATACAACTACAGAAGGTGCTGTGACAGAGCTCAGTTGTGAGTCTGCCTCTTTACCAAGTCTTGCTGCTAGAAGTAGATCTATTTTATGTACAGAGGAGGCAACAAATTTGATGGCACCCGTGGGGAAGATGTGTGAAAAGCTTTTAAGTAAATTAATCTGTAATTGCAGTAGCATAAACTCCCCCTAAAATATGTTATTACCCTTTCTGTTAATAAACCATACAGCTCATTGTGCCAAGACAACAACACTTTTTCTATAGCCTCTCATGAGGTTGGGGCAAACAGAAAGAGAGAGAGGGAGAGAAAGAAAGGGAGAGATAGAAAGAGAGAGAGAGAGAGAGAGAGATGTGGTTTTCAATGAGACTTTGATCTGGGGACTAAGATGGCCATGGGAAAAATAATGTGGTTAGTTAACTTTTTCTATATTTCTATAGCGATGTGTTTTGTACGCATTATCCTGTTGAAAGACTCAATGATGACTAACTTTGGATTTTCTGCTCCACCATATACTTATGTAAAAAATTTTTTCAATGACTTTCAAGGTTCCCGCGGCATTTGTAAGAGGAACAGACCCAGAAGCATCACGTTTACGTTGCCTACAGAGCAATGTACCAGAATCCAACATCGAGGCTGCACATCTCATTCACAAGTGTGGCAATGTTAGGTCTATATGTAGCCCTGATTTGGACAGAATATATGTATTTTAAGTTTAGAGACAGCTATATTGCTTTATCTAAACTTGGTTTATGTTAGATGTAGAATTAAAAATTCAGAAGGACCACAAAAAAGTTGTGAATCATGCACAAATGCCCAGAAGGATAAACTCAAACTCCAAGACATTTTTATTTGATTCAATATGGATGAATTCCACATCTTCTTCTTTTTTTTTTTTTTTCTCAGTTTTCATATTTCTCTGTGTGGAAAAAAAAGACAGTATTGTTCTTTCTTTTAGAGTCAGAAATTCAGTTGAAAATAGTAAGAAAGACAAGATATTTACATATTTGTAATAATTGTGGAATGAAAAGACACACAATTTAATTCAAAAAAGTTTGTAAATATTCAAATAGCAGATGCAGTGTCACAGTAACAAGAGATGTCCCGAGTTCAAGACACTCTGTTTTCATAAACTCTCTTTTCATAAACTTAGGGTGAGTTCACACTGCAGCCTGAAGTGACCCAATTCCGATTTTTTGGCAATTCCGATTTTTTTGCCGGGGCCGTTCACACTGCCAGTAATGGCGACCTGTATGTGTTCTGCAGTGTGAACAGGCAAACGACCTGAAAGTGCCCCGCATGCGCAGTAGAGGGCGCAATAGCGTCAGCGTTCCCCAGTGTTCTGCCAACTGCCATGAAAAGAAGAAGTGCTCAGTATTTGCGGAAGTAAACATGGAGGCTAACGGTGGAGCTTAGCTTACATATTTGAAGTTGTTGTCCGGCTGGAGCAGCATATTAACAACTTAATCCTCATATTGTCCGTCATGGTTGTTGTTTTTCTTTCCGCTTGCGCATATCAGGACGCAGAGTAGTGAGATTTTGTTGAGAATCAGTGACGTTCAGTTCGAATGAATGCGGCCTGGATATGAGGTCGCATTTGAATCGGATACGTATGGATATGGGTCACATTCGAAAAAGAATCCGACCTGTGCTGTTCACACTGCCCTGAAAAGATCGGATACAGGTCGCTGCAGTGTGACCGCACCCATAGATCTATAGGAGATCTATGTTTTGACTTCTAATAACTATATTTTCATTCCCTTTTTTTTTTTTTTTGCTGAGTGGATATGATGTTCTTTTCCACATATTCATCCTTGGCTTCATGCCAGACACAAGTAAGATTTTTACCAAACGCTCAACTGGCCAAAGCACACAGTTCCAGTTAAAATCCCAGTAGAGTCTATTAAACTGTAAGAGTTCATGTTTTTCATAGTTGGACAGCAAAACTCTGGCTCCCAAAAAACAGTGTCATATTCAAACGGCATATTTTGGTTGTCAGTGAGACATAGGACATAGACATTATTGTGTCTATGTCAGTGAGACATAGACACAATAAGCCACTCATTGCTACAGTTTTCTTAAACTGAGCTTTGGAGATTTTTTTTCTGTACCCTCCTTAACTTCCAATTAGCTGTGAAGAGATTTTCGTCCAGTATAAAGCCCTGAAAGAAATGGGTCTTTATGTCATGTCATATTCAAAGCCCAGAAGACAGAAAATCCCGCATTACTAATTTGGATTTTTAAAAGGATTGTTATATATTTGTAATCAAAGGTTTGAGTTTTGAGTTTTTGAGTTATTTAAAAAAAAATAGATTTTACTGCTACAATAAACATGCATCTGTTTTAAGGCTGATTTTTTAAGACTGCATTTTAACAATGCTAAATATTATCATTACTGTTTCTGTACATATTTCCATATAAACAAGTTGTTCATTTGCACATCATCCCAGCTCCTTCAATTTTTCGTTTTGAGGATTACAAATTTACCATAAACAACATAAATATTTATTTCCAATCAATATTTTTTTTTTTCCCCTCAACATCATGTTCATTTCGTCTAAGCATCCCGTGTAAATCCCATGCATAAGGATGAATTATATTATGCATAAATTATAAGCATGAGTCTCTTTTCCTAATGAGCAGCTGCAGACACTGTCTCATCTCAGCAAATAGTGGAGGAGGAATTTTCCGTGCCACGTAGCTGAGAAAAATTCACGAAGGCAGACAAAAGTGATTTGATTAGTGTTGTGTT